TGTTATTTTTCTTTATTTTTTGTTTGTTTTTGGACGTTATCGTAGGATTTGATTCATCCTACTATTACTAAAAATCAATTACTCGTCGATTGATTTCAACAAGAGACAAAGGGAAAGGTTCTCGATGTAGGGAATAATTGTGTCAGTATAAGTAGGGGAAAGAAAGAAAGAGACAAGGAAAGTGATAGAAAGAAAAGTGTCTCGTTAGTGGACAATTTTGGAAAAATGAACGACTACGCTATCTTAGTACCACATGAGATCTCTTCGAGATTGGCACGAAGGGACTCTGGTACGATGAGGGTAACACTTCCATTGACCTCGTTTAGAAGGCATAGTGGTTGCGTCTCAACATTATCACATACGAAGCCACATTCAAAACTTATCTACGTGGCCCTCCCGTAAGTTTTCTTTTTCATTTTTCATTTTTATTTCATTTTTATTTGTATTTTTTATTTTTCTTCATGCTTATTGATTTTATATATTCTTTTCGTATTATTGGTATTTGTCGAACATTTATTTCGTCAGCTTTGTTAATAATTATTGATGAGGATAAATAAGATTTGTTCGACAAACGTTAATCCAGACTTATGGTGTGTGAATAATTTTCCAGCGTCAATATATACTTATATAGATTAACTTATATATTTTTATTTATTATACAAAGTTTTCTTGTGTTAAACATTATGAATTATTATTTTCATTTTCATTTGTGTGCCATAGGGTATCATCGTATTTAATTATTCATAGAAATTTTCGATTGATTTATTTTATATTATTCTACGATAAACTTTAATGTTATTAACATATTGCAATATTTCCAAAAGTAAAGATTCTAAAGATAAAAATCACTCGGTCATATTAATATTAATAAAAGAGAGAAAGAGAGAGAAAACTAGGTGAACTAACTAATTATCTAAATGCTTATATACCTTTGCATGATAATATTATTAAATTTGTTTTATCGAACAAAAGTTCGAACATACGTGGGTATAAATTCATCGAGAATTTCATAGAAAAGTATCACTAAAGAGAATTCCAATATTCGTACTGGCTTTTCGCGTTTATTAGAAAGTAACTATATTATCAAAAAAAGAAAAAAATATTCGATCTTTTCCTTTCGGCAAAGATGAGAAAAAAATAAAAAACAGAAAAATGCACGAATATAGGAAGAAAAATCATTGGAGTAATAATAAATATTTCAGGTTCAATAATTCTGTTATCGAGAAGGATAATCGATACTATGAGTTAACTTTTTTGAACGATCATTTATTTAATGCATTAGGCATCACCTTTCATGAACAAATTTCTTTGATTCAATTATGCAACCTATTGACGCTAGATAGTTTAAGGAGATAGGTTTTACCCTGGGGAGAAAATTCGTAAATCGTAAATAAATCGGTTATCGATAATTAATTCTCAATTATCTCGAGACTCAAGATAAGTACATAGATATCGATTTGTATTTTCTTTTAGCCGACCTCTCTTACGTTTACCTTTGCGACCAAAGACTAGATAATTAATTATTCATTTAATGATCCAATTAGAAAGAAAGAGAGACAGAGAAAAAAGATAAAAGACACAATCTATAAAAAACACTTTTCTCAATCAGATACGTATAACGATTTTTAATCTCTGTGTGACAATTGTATACTAGATTGATAAGTAATGATTTACTAAGAAAACTAATTCGATATTGATTTGATCGAAAAGTAATTTCGTTTTTTTTCAATGATAAATAAATGTAAATTTTTTTTTATACCTAGAATTCATGGGGGTTTTAAAAAATTTGATAAATTGAATTTCTCAGCAATTCCTCGCTTTATTATGCGACAATTAGTACTCGCCAATGCTTTTATATCAAAATTGTCAGAATGAAACTTTAAAAAGCAATTTTAACATTGGCGTTTATTTTTTAAAAAATTTTCTTTACTATAGTAGGAATATCGTTCATATAAATATAATAATATAAGGTTCACATAACGGGTATATACATATATATATATAAGTATATTTTATTTTATTTATTTCTATATTTTTTAATTATGAAAAAAATGAAATACTTATGATGATAAATTCCTTTTTTTTTTTTCTAATTAAACAAGCCAAATTAAAATCCTTTTATTAGGATAAAGCATTACACGCGTTAGATATAGTACAATATTTGACACGAAAAATAAGGTGTGTTTTATACGAAACGGAAGCAAGTCTTTAATCGGTCTTTTTTTAACTCTATCGACCGATACAAGGCTTGGTCATCGTTGTATCTTCCTCTGATAAACAAGACGCACCTTCGAAGTTTTTCAAGCATGATATATGTACGAAAGTCTCTTCCTTATCTAACGCAAACGATCGAATATCTTGAAAAACGATCGAACGATACTTGAGACCCTTCGTTAACGAAAATCTTCCGGTAACGGTGTTCTTTATGATTGAATATGACATAATGATTTATTTGTATTTTTTCTAAATAGAAATAAAGAGAGAGAAAGAGAGAGAGATAGAGATAGAAATTTGTTTTCGCAAAGAGACTACTCTGATCACGTCATTACAATCTAGCATTGTCACGTGTGTCGTTTGTTATATCGGTAATTGTTTGCGTGTGATGTTCGGTAACCACGTTGCTGTTGGCCGCAAACTATCAAACGTTGAATGAAAAGACTAGAGAATTAATTGTTTGCTTATATAATGGTGCATAATGATTACTATTGAAAACGACAAGCTAGTAAATATCTACTTGTTGGTAAAACATTATACGCGCGGTAGTAGTTTATAAAATAAAAATCTTTTTTTTTTTTTTTGATCTATTTTAATTTGTAATTTTCTTCTTACAATACCACCATTTGATTTATTTTATTTTCCTTTTATTAAATACGTCTTTCAAAATATCACTTCACATCGTCGTCTCGTCGTCGTAGTTCAGAAAATCTTAAATTATATAACCAATAGCCTTAGTCTTGAGTAACACAGTGGAATAGGTCAATATTTGACATTGGTCAGACGTTGGATAAATGTATACGCATGACGTGCTGTGTGCTATGTACGTGTGTGCATATATGGAAGACATTTCTTGTTAAGGTTAATCAAAGAACGTTTATTCTACACGCGAGTATACTCAACTTCGTACAAGAATGTGTACGTGAAAGGGTGATGTTATCTTCCATGTGTAATTAAAAATCATTTATTTTCACGAACTGTTACGAGTTCTGTCATATTTGATCGGGCACTGTTAATATATATACAGGATTTCCTGAAATTTCATTTAAATGTACATATTTGTTAAATAGAATCAAAATAAAAGTGAAACATTTGATATCATTAGTAAATTTTATACAAATTTTAAGAAATTTTTTTTTTTTATTTTAAAACTGATGCGCAAAATGCAATTAAATTTAAACAGCAATAAAATACGAAATTATAACACATTTTATTTACTTTGAAAATAATACTGAAATAACAATAATATTACCTTCCTTTCGTGTAAATATTCTTAAGTACATATTTGAATAAATATATTCAAGCGTCGCAATAATAATTACTTCACACAATAATGACACTGCTTTGCAATATTAATTAAGCGTGAAGAAAGAAGGGATAAAAAGATAAATTTCATTTTAATTTTTACGTCGTTTTAACTGTATTTTAACTTTTCTTTATTTCTTTTTTTTTTTTTTTCTCCTTTTTCTTTTTTAATTGGCGAATTGACGTATGTACAACATATGTCAATAACCGTGAAACGGAAGAGAAAGATTTGTTTTTCATGGTACTCAATAAAATATAGACCTTTTGTCCGAATTTCCATTGACGCACGTTAACTACGTTATATGATTCATTTGTGAAAGCAGTGAATTGCTTTTGAGACACGCTCCAGAAAGGATAAAGAGAGTCTTTCAGAAGGCAAATGTTTGTTTTTGCGAAAGCATCGTTCCATCCGTTGCAATCGTTTTCCAACTTCTATCTATTTTTGTAGTAGGTACATGTATTCCTGAGTGCAGTTGCATGATCGAAGACCCCGCAGAACAGCTGTTGTTTTCGTTTAACAACTTCTTCTAGATAAAATGTTTGTCTTATTCAACGATAGAACTTAACTTTGCTAGAATAACATTAAATAGATTTTCAGAATCAAACAATATAATATATTCATTCATTTACATGATTCTCATACTTAGCAAATACAAGGGTTATTTTAAATCGTTCCAAGAAATAAAACAAATGATAATCAGATTATTATTAAACATATGTTTAATACTACAACTCCCAATTGGGTTGACAAAAATACTATAAACTTCATGAAATGCAGACAATATCATTCTCTCTTTTTAGCAATGTATTTTGTTCGATATACGTATACGCAAAAATTTGTTCACAAAAATAAACGGAAACGGGGATGTTAATTCCCATATTAAAATACATTATTTAAAAGTTATACAGTATTAAGATATTTATTAATTAAATAAATTGATATATAAACATTTTAAACAACTTATAATTTTATTTATATATTATATCCTTTTGTTCTCTTTATGTATTCATCGATTGTACAATTCTATTAATCACTTTTGTAATATTATATATTTTACGCATAACAGTAACATTTAAAATTCACTTTATCATCTTCGATTTATTCGAAATGACAGTATGGTACTATTATATGTATATAGAGCGTCTTCGACATAATATTTGTAAAAAAAAAGCCTTTAAAATAACGTATCATAAAATAGGGAGGTATGTCAGTACAAATTTCCAAATAGGAATAGCTGAAATGGAAGGAATTGAAATTAAAATTTAAACAATGTTGATGTTGAGCCTTCCTTTCTGAATTTAAATTTACGTGTTATTTCTCAAAATCAAAATTACTTAAAATATGGTAATATTTTGGTTGGTAATTTTTTTTCAAATGAAACCGCTAAATGTTCAATCAATAATTTTGATCATGATTGTTTATTATTTCATGTTGCAATAGATGAATAGATGACTAAGATACAATATTATTATTTTTACAGTTTCGACGTCGAAAATGGAGCTTCAACGTTGGATGGTGGAGCCGGTGGTGGTGGAGGAGCCTCGCCAAGTGCAGGGTTGGTTCTCCAAACGCTACCACAAAGAAGGGAGAGTTTTCTTTATCGGAGTGACAGCGATTTTGAGATGTCACCGAAGTCGATGTCTCGAAACAGTTCCATTGCCAGTGAAAGGTAAGAAATTTTGTTTATTTTATTCTTTTCGATTTCCATTTTTTTTTCTTTTTTTTTTTTTTTATAGATCTCGTTATATGAAAAATTTCTATGGTAATCGAAGCTCGAGGTAAAATTTCATAAAAATATATCAATTAATTTCGTATAATTTTATGTCAGATAATTTAAAATTCATTAATATAATCATTATCAAGAAAATATGATTTAATATTTCTCAAAAATTTTAATAATATTGAACGAACCTCGTGCATCTTTCTCAAAGAAAGAAATCTGCAATATCGCCCGTTGTACTTTAATGTTTTCAATGCAACGACGGGTTTCGTTCGTTGGTAAAGTAGGTTTCTGTAATCGTTGAATATAAATTTTAGCTTGATATTATAGGGAACCTCAATTCGAGAATTTGATGTTATCAAGGAACGGCATCGTTGATATATCGATATTTGTTTTTTTTAATAACAATCGATAACGTTAATCTCTGTAGTAGATGTTTCGTATATAAAAATACGCACGCAGCTGCAATCGCTCACGCAAAAGAATGTGTATATATATATTATACATATATAATTTTGATATATTTCGAAAGATGCTCGACGGCCGTTTTCGAGCTTCACTATACGTAGGATTAATTTTATTTATTTTATTTCTATTCGTCATATGGATCAAGAGCTGTATGAAAACAGCCATAAGTGTGTAGCTTAAAAAGTATATTGTAGCTTTGGTGACGGTGATGCTTATGATATATTTTATATTCGTTTTCATCGATCATATTATACGTTTGTGTCAATCATCTTTTTTTAAGTTTGTTTTTACGTACGATTTTTTATATACACTATGATACGTTTTGATATGATTATAAATTAATAAAAAAAAAATAAAGTGAACATTATTTACGTAGAAGCAAGCTTTAACATTAATGATTATTTTTTTGGTCTATACATAAGATTTCGGGTTTATATGTTTCGTTTGTTCGTATATTGTTCTTTTTTTTTTTTATCGAATTATCAATCGTTTTTGTAATGCGTTTTTGTTTTTTTTCTTTTTATTTTGTTTTTAAATTTCCCTCACATTATAAATTATTAAAATAGTCGGTGAGGGGTGTAAAAAAATATCATCTATGTGATCCTTGGGTTGCAGGTTCAAAGAGACAGAGCTTCCTGTCGAGCGAGCGTATGTACTCGATCCTATTATTTATTCTCCTATTTCATTTGTTTTTATAATATTTAGATAATACACTTACAAATTTTTGTGATTAACACCCCCCGCCACAGTAATCGGTCGTTACATAAAAGGAAACGTTTCATTTTTTTTTTTTCGTTGTGATTCTTTTTAACACTAAAAAAATCTAATTTCATTTTTTACTCTTTCCATACCAAAAAAGTGAAAGGTGCATGATACTTTTTCAAAATGAAATATGATTTTTGTCAGAGTTCAACCGATTATCCTTCTACCTTTTCATCCCACTCAATAATTCACTTTGAACTTTTCAATTCGAATTTGGCAGAATATACGGAATTCATTTTAATTAAAAGTGATGAAAAAAAAAAAAAAAGAAGATACGGAAGAACTATGGCAATAAGTTTTATTTTCCTCTGCTTTTTAGCGCATCACTCAATTCACTACCACATATTTACATATATATATTTTCTTCTATGTTTTTTAATTCTTAATAAACCTTGTACAGTAGAGCAAAATGCACACACACGAATATATAAATAATCTTTTTTATAACACTGCCACATTGCTTTAAACACATAGACTAGATATAAACCTTGTAAATAATTAAGTACTATATTTATGATGCTTGCAATAGTATACTGAGCGGTCGAATTGGCAAATGATTAAGTAGTATCGTTGATTACAGATTAGATATTAATAAGTATTTAGGTTCAAGATTATGGTGCTATCGCAAGAATTAATAAACGATAGATCATTACAAGTAATTTTGTCATAAATGCATAAAATGAAGAATTTCGAATGCTTGGCTAATTATTGAAAAATATATTCGAAGCTAATTTGTTCTTTTTTTGACGCGAGATTATTGAGCTTTTTTTCATCTTGAAAAATATTTCATATTACCGCGTTTATATTTGAATGTCACGCTTGTATGCATTCGCGTAAAAAAAAAAATATGAGTGAAGTTTATAGAAGGAAGAAGTGTGCGTATATTTTTACAAGCATGTTGAACAAATAGTGGAACGTTTTCAAATAAATGCGAATTCTTATTTTCAGGATATTTACCGAACAGTACAGGTAAGTCCGGCTACTCACGTAATTTCGATGTCCAGCTTTTATTATTAAAAAATAACGAGAGAAAATACACAAGGAGGAAAACATTTTCTTGTTTTTTTTTTCAAAACAAGGGTCACATCATTTTACATTCGAGTATAAATTAAAAATGAAATGAAATCTATGATCTATCTTTGAAACGAAACATCTAAGGATACGTGCTCGTGGTTGCCACGAATTTGTAACAAAAATACGAATATTATATATCACAAATATATAAAAAAAAATCATTTACCAATTTGCAATACTCTTTTTTTTTTATTTATACGTACAGATTTATATATACATATTTTATTTAATTATATAATATGTACATATGTAAATACACGTCGCTTTACAAAAAGATTGATATTATTCTTAAGTATTGATTATTTTTAACATGAACGATTATTTCAATACAATCGATTATTATTTCGTCTTCATTTTTTTTCTCTCTCTTTCCATATATATATATATATATATATATATATATATCTCTGTATAACTTTTCTTTTCTATTGAAAAGAGACCGAACGAAAGAACGAAAGTGCATAGCACGTAAATATTTTTATCTAAAGTGGTGCAAACAAGTAGTCGATGAACGGTGCATCTAGGGGTCCCCTGTTATATACGTTTTATATACTTCTCCTCTCCCCATCTGTCGTCAAAAAGATTATCGACGGGCTATGGCAAATGAATTCAATGTTTGTTCGACGAAAGATTGGCATCGATAAGTCCAAATCTTTGATGATAATATAGTAAAAATAAAAAGACATAGATAAAAATAAAAAATAGAATAAAAAATATTTTGTTATTTGAGTTGTTCATCATACAAGTCATGGATACATAAACTCGCATTAAAAGCTCAATTAACGCTCAATCCTTTTAATTGCAACGTTCACTTGTCGACAATAGGATATAACACTATACTTATTTACATGTATACATATATATCACACGTTTGTTGATCGTCATACTACAAGTATTTTCAAACTATTTTCTCACTTTTTCTGTTAAAAATTACAAAATAATTATTGGCACAAATTTTGACGACTTCATAAAGTCTAGTTTTTAAAATTACTTTTGTCTTACGTAACGCATAAAATGAAAGTTTACGAGAAAAAGTTGTTATTATCAGATTCGAACACCGTCAATGTTTCTCAACGTGGCTCATTTATTTCAATATACGAGTTTGAATATTTAAAAAGCTAATTAGCACAAATGATTCGATAATTCATCAATATTTTTGCCACAAATTAATATTCATCATTCCAGTTGTGAATTTGTATTAAAATCTTCACTGTTATATCTGTATATATATATATTTAAAATATCAAATATTAATTAACATTAAATCTCTTGTTTTTTTTTCAAAATCTAATTTAGTATTACATGCCATTAAAGAGAGGGGCATTTCAATTTTTGATGCATCAAAGTAGGGCACGATTTAAAAAAGGTTGAAAAACACTGTGTTAGATAAAACGAGTCTAGTGATACGAGTCATTATATAGTCAGTCACATGACGAAAGGACCGTTGGATAGGACGCACATGTTACGTCAACTGCCGTTAAATAATTGACGAGCTTACTTACACACACGTTATTGCATTTTCTTTAGGATAGTAACAGTATTTCTTAAATAACTAATGAAGAGATATATAAAAAGAAATAAAAGGAACAGTCGTTCATCGAAACAAACTAACTTAGGCGAATGATTGTGATTTCTGCGAGTATTACACGACACCGAGTTTACTGGCCTGTTGCTATTTTTGCAATCAAATAGAAGCATGTAAACCAGCAAAAAACTGATACATATTTATAAAGTGAAGATGGTCGTGTGACGTAAGTGACCTTAACTTGGCGAATAGCTTGTAAGTAGCTGATTTGGAATCGATCCATATTCCTAAAGCGCGATATGTCATTTATTACACATTCTCTTTTTTTATTATTAATAATCTGAAAATAGTAATTATTCTAAGATATTATAACGATTATTTGTTGACCTATATTAAATAATGATTATTACAATCTTTCGTTTCACATTATATTTCGCGATGATAATTAAAAGATTAATCAATTTATTAACGGATTATCGTAAATACAATTATTTAACTGATTGAATTCAATCTTATGATTATTTTCAGTGTCTTACGTAAAACTTGTAATATTATGCGCAGCCTGTTCTACGTGACGATCGTACGAACGATCGAGAATATGAAAAGCTGTTAAATCATTAGGAGTCATTAACGTGACCAGGATGACCTAATCAAGCAGACTCTTCTGTCGTAGAATGTCGTTTAAGTTGACCTTTTATTATTTAATTTTGTTCTCCTAAAGATGTACAAATGTATGTTTTTAATGAACAATGTTTCGAAAGGTTTATTAAAAAATACTTATATTTTCTAGACATACTATTCGAATATTAGAACTTGACCTGTGACATAAATACAAGTAATTAATTGACATTGTGTCCTATTTTTCCTTCATGTTATTTGATATTTATTTTCCTTATTGGCAGAAAAAATCATATCTTTTAATTCGATACGTAAGAAAGAAACTCTACTTGAATGCATTATAATTTAAATACTGATCATCTCTCAATTCTTTTGTATTATTATCTTTGTTTAACTCTTAATTTCTGCTATAAACTTGTATAACGTATGTAAATTTATAAAATCAGAATTGTTCGATTAAAAACCTAGTTTTCTTTTTGCATCAAAATGCAAATGGCCCTGATATTTGTCTAATCGATGTAACTATATACGCGTTCATCGTGTTTACGTCGGAAACTTGCTAACTCGACTCGTGCTACCAATTTCCTTTTTATTCCAATTATCTATCATTCTTGTTATACCAGCCATAATAAACGTTTCGTGACAATGTCACAGCCACGATATTATTGAGACGATACACGATATTTTTTACACAATATTGTAGTACAATTTTATAATAGAAAAATATTTGTTTATATGTATATATATATATATTTGTATTGTTAATTTGGAATCTACTCTATCGGATAATAAAATAATATTTATTAGACGAAAAATTTGCATGATTTTGCTTTTAAGTAACGTAACCGTGATCGCGAAAAAAAAATAAAAAATTCTTATACTTCATTCGTTATTTAAAATGATTTTACTCTATGTTCGTGAAAAATTCGTTATAAAACGAAAAGTTAAAAGATAAGAGTTTGACGAGTTTCGATAGCGCTAACGTAATGAAAAAAAAAGCCGAATCGATTAGAATAATTTATTTCCATAATATTATTCCTTACCTTACGACGAACCGTAAGAAATTTCGAAGATTATATATTCGTTGAAAAAGTTCGTAAAATTCATAAAATATTTATATCCATAAACTCTCTTCTCTAGAAACGAATAATAGTATTCTATCTTTCTCCCTCATTTTCTTTCTTTTTATTTTTTTTTTTTTTTTTCAGAATTTGAAGAAACGCGAATAATATGATTTCCTTATAATTTAGTGATTTTATTTTCTTTCTTTTTGTAGCATAAGAAAAGAGAAAATACGAGTGGATATCAGAAAATGAACGTGGGCCACGATACGTTCGATTTTTAACATGTTTGACAAGGCTAATGCATTTTACCCAAGTTAACTCAAGCCTCATGAATTTTTTCTTTTGAAGAAAATTACAGTTGGCTTGGTAGATGACTTGTGAAAGCGATTAATTCAAAGAAGAAAATGCCGAACGATCGGAACAAGCGCGTCTGAATGTTTCTTTCATGAACTATAACTTAAGATTCTTAACGAATTTTTCTGTGAGCTTCGTTGATTCATGATAAAAAAAAAAGAGAAAGAAAAAAGTAATAAAAAAGAAAATAGAAAGTAAAATCGCGGGGGAAGAAAGAAAAGTAACCTTTCCACTTCGTCGCGTATCGTCAAAACTACAAATATCTAGAAGGAAATAAGAGAGAAAATGGTAAAATAAATAACAAAAGTAAAGAAAAGCAATTTAGTTATTCCTAATATCCTTTCAAATTTATTCACATATATATATATAATACCTAGCGTCATTGAGAAGATGATGCAAGCGCGCGCGCGTTCCCATTATATTTCCGTTTCACTAAATTCGCTAGTTGCATCGATGAACTTTGCTTGGAATCGTGTGACAATGCATAAGCATGTGTGTCATGTGTCGCGAATAAACGTGTTTGATCGGTTATGCGTAGGAAATGAATAATTTCGGTCACTCGATGCTGGAACGTAGCCGATTTTCTGATGAGTTAGTAAAGCTCTCTCGGTTTTCTTATTTCCTCTCAATGATGAGAAATAGAAAGAAATATATGTATATGTATGTATATATGTATATATATATACATATGTATATATAAATAGAGAAGGGGACAATTACCGATAATCGTGCAGACAGGACAGCGAGTGTGTAAGAGTAAAAATAAGAGAGAAAGAGAGAGAGAGAGAGAGATAGGGAGATAAAGAGAGAAAGAGAGAAAAGATAATGCGCGGTAACGACGCGCATGCTTCCCGCGCAAATCGTGAACCCACGTACTACCTCCCCCTTCTCTTTATCGTCCCTACCCCCACGAGAAATCTCTGCGAAACCAGAACACCCCGGCCAGTATTCGACATCGCGGCAAACACGAGGTGTTTGACAACGTTCGTCGTCTCATACACGTACGTTTTATCGTGTCTCATTCTCTTTCCCTTTTTATCATTTGTTATATCACATTGTATTTCATTATTCGTCATTTCCTTAACCCTAAAGAAAGTATAGAACACGTTCGTCGATCAATCATCCTCCATACCTTTCATTGTCACTCATACATTCGTATTTATATCGACACTCATACACGCGTACACGTTTCCTTTCTCTTTTTCAATCTTCTCCCTATTCGATCACAGTCGGTCGATGAACTTAGGCTTATCGCGCTTTGATAGACAATCGGTTTGTATCATTCTGTTCGTAGGTATTCTTCTATTTGTAAATATATTTGAAAATTGGTCTATTGTTCGAAAAATTTGAAAAAGAATAAGGTTCATTAATGACGCTTTTCAATACAACCTCGTTTATGCGTTCTGTGTGTCTGTGCATATGTATATGAGTGTACATGCGTGTAAAAGAAAAAGAGAGAGAGAGAGAGAGAGAGAAGAGAAAGCCAATCAGCGTAAAAATGTTCCATATTATTTATTATTACTCGTTTATTATTATTCGTTCGATTCGATAAGATTTTATCCTGGCTCTTGAGGGCGTTCGTGACTCATGATAACTATTATCATTCTCCTGGTTTGTCTGATATTGATCATGATTTTATTAAATACGTTGTAAATTCAGTGAGACACCGTTATTTTTATTTATCTTATTTTTCTTTTTCTTATGAAATTATAAATGTATTCTCTCGTTAATCAACTCGTAATGACGAGCTTTCTTACAAACATTAATCCGAAGTTTTGCTTAAAGCGTAGAAGATTAAGTAACTTTTGTCAGTTTACATTAGGTCGAGTTCATTTGACAGTTTCCATTGATAGGAAAAGCAGTCAAACCACGCAGTTTAAACCACATTTTGGTTATACCGACAGACTAAGCACTATGGCAAATGGAGGACGCGATATAGTATATCTTTTGTCCAAGAGAAATAAGCAAAATCGATGAGGAATTCGATTGTAACAAAGCAAAATTGTTCACTTAGATTGGTTTTAATCGGATTGACTAGTTTAATATTGAGTTCGATAATAAAGTAAATGTCTCTGTCTCTCGTCCTTTTGATAATAACCATGATATTTTTCTTCGTGTTATTAATTTTCATTTAACAAAGTTTGAATAATTTGTATTTAACGTATACGTGTTTATTCGTTCAAGATATTTATTTCTTGATTACTTTTTTTTTCTTATTTTATTTCCCTTCAAAATTATACTACGTTTTTTCTTTGTCATTCAACAATTTGAAGGGTTAATTCCCCTTTAGGGAAAATGTTTAGATAGGAGGCTGAAGTTTTATCAACGATGGAGGACAGGAAAGAGAAAATTCGATAACAGGAACGTTTCGTTACGAAGGGTGTCGTACTAGCTTTCGTTTTTTTTTATCTTTATCCTAACAAAAGTCCGTTCCTGCAAACATATTCCTTTATATAAATCGGTTCACAAAAATAGTTTTATGTGTATATAAAGAGTGTAATAAAAATAAATAGGAAAACTTTTGTAATACATTCTTCATACTCTTCTTATAGACAAAAATATATTTTACATCAATAGGAGTTTGAAAATATAACACATTGCCGAGTTATAAGATTTTTAAATATGATATTAATGTACTCTAATTGTATATTTATTTGCCGGAATTATTATAACATTTCTGCTGATGAAATATTAACAATAATATTCTCCTACTTGTATATAGGATTCACCCGGTCATCTCATTTATTTTCCAACACGTTTTTTTTATCGTTACGAATACGTTAATCCATTTTTTTTTGCATGGTTTTAAAGATATTTATTATAGTGGAAGAAAAATTTCAGCGGCCACGGTTGTATATTTAAATATAATACAACTAGGATCTCGAATTTAATTCATTTAGTTATTATTATATAATATTACTATATTATCATTTTATTATACACTATTATAAAAAAAAATTGCAAAATAGCAAAAGATAATTACTCGCGGAAGCTAAAGCAATTGGAAAAGCGATATTCGATATTTGTAATATAAATATATTAAAAATTCCATTATATAAAGTGGAGGAATCAATCATACTTTATAAAATTTTAAATACCTTTGGTATTTTTATCCTCCAGACAATTTTTTTTATTAAAAATTGTAAGATACATTTTAAAAGTGATTCTTGAAGGAACTTCTTCCTTATATCAAAATAAGTTTTCTATGTTATTTCACGATTTTCTATTTTTTCTTTTTTTCTTTGTATACAAATCTCATTTGATTTTTATTGAGATCCCCTTTCACAGGTACGACTTCCTTACCGATGAATTCGTTACATCACGAAGATTAATTCTCAATAGGATTTCTTTATTGATGACGTTAGTGATATGTTCAATGACGTTGTTGTAAATAAGAAATCGTGTTTCTTTCCTGTATTAAAAATATTTCGTCAGAAAAAAGAATCAATGATACGTTGCCAAAATTTCATTCTTATGAATGACTTTCTTAATTAACGATGATTGAGATAAGGTATCGCAAATTTGGCTAGGTTTACGAAAAAAAAAAAAAAAAAAATCAAATTTCTTTTGAAAACTTACGAATTGAAAACATTCACACAAATTCGCAGTTGAGCTAAACATAGTTCGGTTTACATAACAAGAAGCACAGTTTCGAATTATACTTCAGAGTTGTACGTGGAGATGCGTAAGGGAGGGGAGAGCTTGAGAAAAAAAAAAAAAGAAAATAGATAAAACAAATGATTGTATTTTTAGTTTTATTTTTTTTTCGATCGTAGACAAATTATTGGACGTGTAATTTCAATTGTTGATAAATAGGACAAATTTATTTGAATGTTGTGTTGTGTGTTGATAATATTTTTAATGATTCTATTGGTTTCATTTGTTATTCGTTATTATGAATATTTAAACATTGTGAAGAGTCAAGGATAAAACGTGAGAGACAAAGATTTCTTCGCGAACGTCATGGGATGAAATTCTTCAAGCGTTACGTCATCTCTTCTATCGTGGCAAACCCTAGACACAACCATAAAAGGTCGATCGAATATCCAGTTTTGCTTTCGAATGCATTTCTTATCGTACGACGTACGAATTGTGCAATTTTTAAAAGGGATTTCTTTCTTTCTCTCTCTCTCTCTCTCTCTTCCTTTTTCTTTCTTTATTTTGTTTTGTTAAATTCTTTTTGTCATATTCCATATTGAATACATTTTTTTTACATCCTCTAATAAATTTTCTTTTTTCCACGACATTAGGAAATTAAATCTTAACTTGTTTCGTTTTATTATTAGTTATTCCACAAAATCGTAAAAAATATAAATCGTGTTTACTAATAATAAGAAGAAATTATTTTCTTATCGCATGCATACTACGTTGAAAATTAAAAAATAATACAAATAATTTCATCTATTTCATGATTATTCTTCTATTCGTCTATGTGAAACAAAATATATCTATTGAATGTCATGCCTTTTTTTGTATATGTGTATACGCGTGTTTCAACGATGTTACACACGGTTTTATCAACGCAGTATCGATTGTATAATACATATATATATATATATATAAGTATATATTTTACAATTTGTTAAAAAAGAAAAAAAGGATGATAATAACGAGATCACGTTATCAATCACTCGTTACATGGATATATAGGTATGTTCGCGTCGATAAAAAATATATATGCGCTAGTTTTGTTAAATGACACCTTTCTTGTTCGCTTGTTTTACTTGAAGAACTAATTAATAAGAGAGAAAATGAAAAAAAAAGAGAGAGAAGAGGATAATGTATCATGGATATAATAGTTTTTACCTGTATTGCATTTCTAGCATTACTTTTGTTTTTATATATATGTGGTTAAGAAGAGAGCTGCTATTTGTTTCGTCAAGGACGTCATAAAAATAGTACACTCGTGATTCTTCAGTTCAAAGTACGGGGTAGACGAAATATTTCATTTCTTTTATTCTTTTCTCTATTTACACGTCAACCTTTATCCCATTTGAACTCGATTCTTCCTTGCACGGTAATTTCGTACAGTAAAGATATTTCTATCATTTTTATTATATAACGTGTTCTATCTAAACTCATTTTTATTCTTTACATTTTCTTTTATGTATAGTTATTTACTAAAAAAATTCATTCGGAAACGTTAAAAAGAAAAAAGAAAACAAATATTTCTCTTTGAAAGATTTTTCATTCTGCGCATGACAGATGATTGATTAAGGCAAAAAATAAATAAAAATGTATATTTATATATACATGAGACTCTATTTATTATTTAATTAATATTTTTATCGGAAAATATTTTTTGCTTAATTTTTACGCAAAAATATTTCATTAAATGTTAAGATAAATATTTTTTAATATTCAAATGAGAGAATTTCATTAACGAGAATAATATAAATTTAAAATGATTTTGTTTTTTTTTAATTATAAATACTATTTCCTATGTATTGATTTTTTAAGCGAAAAATGTTTTTATAATGGTATACATATTTTTGAAGTCTTATTTATGTTATAAAAAATTTAAGAAGTTTGAGAGCCTTTGGTTTATGGTAACCTGTTGAAAAAGCTTTAATCGCTGTCTCTCTTTCTCTCTTTCTCTCTCTCTCTCTCTCTCCATTTTCCTCTTTTTTTTTCTCTTTCTTTTTTACCCTTTTGCATAGAGTAGAAAGCTTTAGAAAAGAGATTTACCGTGGAGTCTCAACTCGATCGAATAATTTCGCGCAATATATCGGAGGTTATAAAGCTGGGTCAAAGGTAGTAAAAGAAAAATCTGGTAATACCTATGTGAATGAACATTCGTTCGATATAACCACCCTGAGACGACATTTTCGCTTTAAAATGAAAACTCGTCGCTCCGCTTCAAAACTTAACGGTTTATTTACGATATCAAAAAAAAAAAGTTAGTTAAATTGAAAAACATATTACACACACGAGAGTATTACTTTTTTTACAATTTTTCGAAATTTTCAATTATAAAAATTTTATCCATTTTTTTCTCTCTCTTATCTCTTTTTTTTTGTTCTCCTTGCATCCTCATTCACATCTTCGAATTTATGGAAAAGGTCACGTACGTAAGGTGTGAACACGTGGGACGAAAAAATTTCAAAAAGAATCGTCGTTTTAACATTAAGGTTTTCTTTATCATTTTCGTTTTCTTTTTCTTTTTCTTTTCATCTTTTTACGAACAACGTGATTTAGATCCAATACCGAATCGGGGAAACGATATAACGAGTACGATATACTTGAACATTTCTAAATTTATCGCAGACAATAATTCGTTGCGTTTAAACTATTTTCCTGTCACGTAGAACACATTTCCCTGTCAATTGTATTCGAGATCGTTCGATAGACGGATAAATATATCAATCGAAATTTACAAAATATATATTTCCGATAAAATTCTATATATTTATACTTTATTTCTCTTTGTTTTTATTCAATTTATTTATGAGAATTTCATTTTTTTATTTATTATCTTCACATTCGTTTTTTCTTTGCCACCTTGCAGTTTTTCGAGCGACACTAAATTTCACCAATTTATTAACAATCGCATTCCTTCTGTCAAAAGAACGACCTTCGCGATCGGAAGTAAGTAGTTCGCTTGAAAGCTTGCTTTATTTCAAAACTCGTAAGAACGGCTCATTTATGTTTTTATCACAAAGCTTTAAATGAAGCAGCAAAGTTCTTTCTTTACCACGTAGTCCTATTGGTCATACAAGGATGTCTCTTTATTGGAAAACCGTAACAATTAAATAAAAAGCTTCATCTATTTTTTATACTCATTTATCTTAATACTTACTTATATATATATATAGCAGAAAATTATAGGTTATTTCTTTCATTAATATCTAATTTTTGAATTACGTTTCTCGTTAAGCTCTTCTAATACATCCATTTTTCGAATGAAAACGTGATAGCAAATTCGATGTCTATTTTAAACCTTTGTCCCATTGAAATTAATTTTTGTAAGAACCGTAAGAGCAAATTGGGATATGAGATTCTTTTTGGTTCTCGCCTCCGGTCTTCCATTTGTCTCTTTAATTCTTTCTTTATCCATCCATTTATCTCTGTCCCGTCTACGTGTCTCGAACAACGCGGAAACCAGCACTTCAATTGTATCATTGCCATTGCGTTTAAGTTTCAAGATAAAGAGATTGTCGAGCCAACCGAGCAGTATCCCCGGGACCAACCTAATTAGTTTCATTTGGATAAGTTGCTACTTGTCCCAGTTTAAAGTGCTACGATGTTAGAGTGAGTGAGATCACGAGAAAATTACTCTACGTCGTTTCTCTACTCATGACGTGTTTTCAATGCCGATTCTTCTTACGACATTCTTACAACTTATTACGCGAGATATAGAAAGAAGATAAATACAGAATTTTCATATAGAAATCGATTGCATATACGTTACTCAAGATCTGACTAAAATAACGCAACAACATTTCCTTATCCATAGACAAGAAACATAAATTACATCAACGTAGATCTGGGCATATTTTGTTTTTCAGTTATGAGATTTTTAAGAATGATAATTATTTTTCATTTATTAGAATAACGATACTCTCTTTCCTCGTATAAAATATTCCAGGTATGTTTATGCATCAATTTATCTGTTTATCAAATTTGGAAAACATTTTAAGATTTCTGACGCAATGTACCTAATTATAGTTGTTAGTATGCAGTAATTCATTTGCTCTCTGATGTTAAAGATATTTAATATGACTGAAAGTTTACATGCAAAGATGATTACATATTTGAATCTAATATAATTATTCAATCCCACATAAGATTGAATTTTAGCGAATTAAATAAATGTAATTTGAGAACGTTAAGATAATATTTGAAAATTGTATAACTCAATAATAAAGTATATCGGATCTATATTGATGTAACCTATTTTTGTTCTTTTCTGACAATGAGTTCTTAGATTCATTGAAGAAATTTAGCCGCGATATTTTTGTTATACCTTATATGCACGTGGAAAAAAATTCGATTGCTATGAATGTGTCATAATCATTCGTTCAATAATTTCACATTTATGTTTTTCCTCATAAAGGTATCTCATTTTTCGTAGTTATTTCCTTAACACCCACGTTATTTTGTAATAATTGCGATCCACCGTGATTGTGATTTTCACGTCAAACGATTACACACACGAGGAGGAAATGAACGTTCGCTTCATTCGTTTCGATTCAAAAGACAAGCTGATATTATCCAATAGGGTAACCTTGTACGTAAGCCGCATCGTTACGTTGCACAGTAACCACGTCTGTGTATTTTCCTACCTGAAAGGAATTCAAATTTCCGAATTAAAATCTAACGGCGAACGTGAAGTCGATCATTGTTATTATAGAAACATCCATATCCTATACCTTTCATGCTTTTCACTTCTTTTTCTTAGAAAAAAAAAACAAACAAACAAACGAATTTGCAGTATTTAACTAAAAGTGAAAACGAGGAGAGGAACCATCGTTTGTGATCATCGTACAATACATAGAACTAAAAACAATATATTATTAAAATTGACACGCGGAATACAACACACACATCTATACGCAGTATATAGAATGCGAAAGAGAGAGAAAATAAGAAAAAAGTAAAAGAAGGTTGGCCTTGAATGAGGAAAGTGCTGATCGATAAGGAAAACCTTCACCTACAATTTGTATCGATTATTATACACTCTTCTCCCTTTTTTTTTCTCTCTCCTATTAAACAAAATTAAAGAAAGATCGATGGGATGATTATCGAAGAAAATAATAATAATAATAATAATAATAATAATAAAAAATAAAAAACAATATACGCAGGGAATCATTATTAAATAGAAGGGATTAATATCGTTGAAAAAATGATAAGGGAGAGGAAAAATAAACGAGGGATATTGATTGTTGATCATTGGTGATGGGAAATCTGAAACAAGAGAAAAATTGTATTCCAACGAAGAAGAAGAAGAGAAAGAGGAAAAAGAGGAGGAGGAGGAGGAGGAGGAGGAGTAAGGTTGGAGGAAATAAAGAAGTTAAAGAAGTTTCGGCCTAAAAATGTCCGGTTCGAGTGGTGGCATGATCGACTTCCCGGGTACTACGGGAGGTTTGAAAAGATGTGGGGGTGGTATGAGTTCACCATCTTTGGGGGCGGGCAATGCAGTTGGGGGGGTAGCTGGCGGTGGCCTCCCAAGGACCTTGTCAACCTCAGCTCTTAGACTTCGACCGCAAAGGAGGGCAGTATTCTGGGAACAATGTTTCGAGACACCTTCCAAAAGGGATTTGTAAGTTATTCAAATCAAACCTCGAATATATAATGCATAACAATATATTGTTTTTCTTTTTTTTTCTTTTTTTATTAAATATTCCTTGTTCCTTTTTATGAGAGATACAGAAAAGGTAAATCACAGAATTGTTAAAACTTTAATGTTATTTTATTTCAAATATCGCAAATTTTCAATAATTAACAATAGTTTTATTTTTCATTGTGCGTTATAATTGCTATGTATATATATATATATATATATTTTATCATTTACAAGAAGATATTTCAAACGCGTAGTTCCATATTATTTATAATTGAAATTTATTAAAGTACTATCTATGTACTTTAAATCACTGTATAATTAGGTCTGTTTAATTTCAAGGTTTACACGAAAACTGTTTTCTCAATTCAATGAAATCATTAATAGAGTTTCATGGCACTATTTCAAAAATAAAACGTTTAAAACAAATCTTTGCCAAATCATAGTTAGTTACATATTTAATCGTCTGTTAATGCTTGTTAATGTTTGTTAGTGTTCGTTAATATTGTTTCGTCGAGCAAATCATCTAATGCGATTTCTTGCAATATGAATATGACATGAACAAATTCGTGAAATAAATCATTCAATCCATCTATCTATCTATCTATCTATCCGTTTCTCTCTCTCTTTCTTTCTCTCTTCCTTTGTGGGTTGTTCTTTTTGGAGGATAGCCAGATGTTCATTTTGTGCTTTTCATTTACGAAACGAATTATGTTGGCGTTCCCTTCTTTATAAGCCCTAGCATGTTAAGCGAATCGTTCGATATGTACTGCTTGAATCTCGAACAGAAATAAACAAGATCGTTGGGCATTAGATCAACGATGAATGGAAACTAATGAAAGTAGAGCTTTACGAAAGGATAGATAATATATAGGCAGATATTAGTAACTATATATATATATATATATATATATATGTATATATATAGACTTGTGTGCAAATATATACGAATGGTTTATTGAAAAGAATGAAGAAAAATTGGACCGTTAAAAAGTGCATATGTATATCGAGAATTATAAGCTAGGACGTAATCAAATTTTATAGTTTTAACCGTTTGTTCTCGAACAAAGCTACAAAATATTGTTTCCTTAATTTCAAGATAGATTATTATCTATTTTGCGTGATAATTTATTATTCAAGATTTCAATTTGTCCGTTCGTTTTTTCTTTTTTTTTTTTTTTATACACTTATCAAATGCTTTATTCGCTAGTGTTACCTATTATACGATTGTATAATAATAAAATTGATACGTCAATCGATTTATTTTATTGTTAATTTGATATCGGCATGACATTTCCAATCTCGTGGGTAGTTTTCGTGCCAAGATTTATATATGTATATCTCTTTGGAAAATAAAAACTAGTTATATACATTCTTTGGATTGGTACATCATGAATTATGTTATATAGTACGTATATATGTAAAATTACGAATACAATCGTAAGATTTTTCGTTTGTTTCATCGACTCTATCGAGACAGTAATTTATAATAGTTCTTATCCGGAATTTATTTTTCACATAGATGACAAACTAAAATTCAAAAACACGATATCACTGGTCGTTTTATAAAAAATTCATCCTAATCCAACGACCAAAGTGTCGAGCTTTCTTTTTCGAGTATGCAATTGTTTTTTTAAAGTTTAAATGTATTGAGATAGAATATATAATAGTTGTTTGTTGAATTTTTGTAAAAAGGAAAATTGTATCGGAAGCCCTCCAAACCCGAAAGGGACGGAGTATAAATAAATAAATAAATAAATAAATATATATATATATATATATATGCAAAAATTTAGAAAGAATTTAAAGGAAATCGAATTCGTTCGTGGTCAAAATATCGATACCTTTTTTCTTTATNATAAAGAAAAAAGGTATCGATATTTTGACCACGAACGAATTCGATTTCCTTTAAATTCTTTCTAAATTTTTGCATATATATATATATATATATATGCAAAAATTTAGAAAGAATTTAAAGGAAATCGAATTCGTTCGTGGTCAAAATATCGATACCTTTTTTCTTTATATTATTTCTTTTTAAAATATAGAACTCAATATTCACGGTGTCACGTAATTCTCTATTTCTTTGTTTTTTTTTTCTCTATCTTTATCTCTTCAGAATAAATGAACTCACCTTTTCTACTATTTGCAATTTTTCGTTCGTTTTCTTTGTGACCATTAAAAGAAGGATATCCGATCAGATATTACGTGGAACAATTTCTTATCATTATTCGTCTTTTTGCGTCGTTTCAAGTTTCCTATTGTTCGTTCAATAAAGAAAATTGTTTGCTAATAGAAGATATGCTGATACGATTCACATTCTTTCTTTTTTTTTTCTCCTTTTTATTTATTTATTTTTTTGTTTTCTAATCTTTTTTCGATGGATTAATTTTGTTTGTTTGTAAGAATAATAATTGACAGCTAGAAAATAAAATCGATTTGGTTTAAATTCGATAAAGTATTCGAATGGGGATTATTCTATATAATCGAACGAATAAATTGATAAAATTGTTTATTCTTCTCGAAGATGTTCAGCAATTTAATAATATGAAGTAATTATGAAGACCGTTAAAATTCCAAATATGATTCATACGCGTGAGTAGTTAAACTAAAAGTCAAGTCAAGTGGAACATCGTACAAATCGCTTAACGTCACTCAAGCTTGTTTAGTTCGTTCTAATTTTTATCTTGAGAGAAAAAGACGTATTATTTGTATTTTGTATTTTATTTATATTCTTTTATAGTTTCAACTCATACAAGTTATTAGATTTAAATAGGAACATTAGTAGATTTAAATCCGAAAAATTCCAAAATATATTTTTAATAAACTAATAATATTAATGTAATATTACATATTTTTATGTAGGACGCCATTTGACATTTATATATAAATACAAGTTGATTCAAAAGTTGCTTTACCGATAGAAAACAAAATAAAAGACAAAATAAATATTGTTTTAACAATAGAATTACAATATTTCGTTTTTTGATTTTGAAATATGAATCTTCACTAATAATGTTGAAAAAATATGAATCTACGTGTGGCGGCACCACTCACAACACACGTCACTCACACAGTTGATAATAGTTCGATAAAGCAACTTTTGGTCATAGTTTTTATTATTATTGTATACTGTATAAAATAATATAATTCACAGAAGAAAACTAGAAAATTCTGAATTATTTTGAATTTGTGTAGGAAGGTAAAGATGAAAGAAAAAGTAAAGAAAAGATTGATAGATGAACTTGTAGAAAAGGTTGGATGGTATGTGCGAGAAACATATACATTTTGTTCAAGCTTGGCCTTTAGTTGACGAGGTGACCCAGTTGGGAATGTTAGTACTCTCTTTCTCTTTCTCTTTCTCTTTCTTTTTCCCTCATATAGATGCATACTTGCAACTTTATATCCCCCCCTATTTTTCCCTACTTCTCTTTTCCGTAGGAGTTAGAGGTGTGTCATATTGATCGAGGAAATTAACTATTACGACAACCACTTGCTACCGGGTCGAATATGAAAGAAAGTATTCAGTGAGACGTCGCATGGTTGAAATACACGCAAGAAAAGCGTCACATAGAAGAATAGTTCAAGAAAATTTCACTCGATTAAAAGGGAAATTGAAAATTTGTCGTTATCTGAACGACTTTTCGATCTATTAGATATATATTCATTCCTTTGAGATATTTATTTTCTCAAAATCTTTATTTATGCATATTAACATCTTCGTGAACGTGTATATGAGAATATTAAATAAGACAAGTTTACACATACAATTTAGTATATTAATTATTTATATCACGTAATTTATTATACGCAATGTTATTATTTATTTTTCCCTCCCCTTCTTCTTTTTTATTTATTTTATCTTTAATAATAATCGAAGAAAATACTATATACTCCAGGAAGTATAATAGTTACTTTAATGACTTTACACAGTAAGATAAATATTGACGCGAGTTTGAGTTTCTAGGATTATAGAAGCTATGCTTTGGAAAGATCCTCGTTAAGATTCATCAAGAAACGATGTAGAAACATTAAAAGAAAATGACATATGATTTTCTAGTCGCGATTATTATTAATATTGATACTTTTATATATACACAAGAATTTTCTAATTCAGGATAATATACTGTTTGTAAATTATTTAAGTGACCACGGATATATTTTTTGAATTGGGTAAAAAAATTTGAAAAAAATTGTCAGAAAGGTTTTCTATGGGATAGAAAATGATAAAAAAGTTTCAACCAAATCGAAAAGGGTCGAGGTCAAAAGTGTTCGATTTCACGTGGAATGCCTTATATATATATATATGTATATGTTTTTCATTGAACCTTTACGTCTCACATACGCTTTTGTTTCAAAGAGATGAGAAATCTACCAATTATGAACGGTAAACTATAACGGGAGAAGTTACACCGCGTTCTTTGATAATTTCAAACTTATAGCCAATTAGCGAAAACAGACTAATTAATTAATAAACGAATAATGCATGTTATGGCAGGTTCAATTTTGAAATCTGATTTACATGCTGTAGAAAATAATATGATAGTTGATAATAATACGCGTACTTGTTTCTTTTTATCTTTGTTTCTCTCTTCCATAACCTTTGACTTTTCAAGAATTTTCCCGTGATTTGAATAAACAAATATGTTGATTTAAATTATTGCACGTCGTTGTACCAGGAATATTATTATATATATTTAATTAATTAAATTAATTTTTATCTATAAAACAAATTATGGAACACATTACGAAAGATTTCTATTTTTAACATTTACATAAGTAAAGATTCGCAACGTAATAACTCGATATTGCAATCATACAGTTCGTAATTATTTTTTCTTTTTTTTTCTGTATTCTTTTTTTTATCTTTTTTATCTTGTGTAAAATATAAAATTTCAGAAACAAAGAAGAAATAGATGTAACAATATACGTATTTCCATTCCGTTTTTTTTATGTATAAATAATCAATAACACTTGAGCACAATATCCCTAGAACGGACAACTTACGTTGTTTTTGCACATGGTCATAGTATTTAATCGAATAACAACTTGTCAGCATTATAATATTAATATTAAACTTTCTGAAGGTCATAGTTTCGTCTTTCTACGATCATCCGATTAGATTCGTAAAAATATCAAAACGCAGAGTAATATACGTATATATTTTTTTTTGTTTTTAAAGAAATAAGATACACGTGCTTTTTCTTGAATTTCGCTATTTGAATAGCGAATAATTTTCCGAATGGGTTTTCGAGATAATGCATTTTCTCGGAACGGAGAAAAGTCTATTTGTATAACTGTAAAAAAAGTAGAAAAAGAAAAAGAAAAAGAAAAAGAAAAAATAGGAGAAAATAGAGAAATGGAAAAAACAAAAAAGGATACGTGGCAGAAAAAGGAAACGAAAATTCGTGAAAAAGTAAAATAAAATTTTATTTTCGTCCCGAAAATAGTATAGTAAAATTGTATCCATTCCCATCTCGCCATTTTGCATTCATTCCCACGCAAATAACGGAAAAATCATGCTGCGGATTGGAAGTAGTAAACGACGAATGACGACGAAGACGACGACGACGACGACGACGATGAGCTCGACTTGTTTAGAATAATAACGTGATCCATCCGGTTCTGGTCCCTTTAAGGCATCAATTTGGTATGCTGATGTTTAATTTAACTCGAACTTCTGCGTATCATTTTGAGAAAACGTAAATTTTCTTTACCACTCTTAATACGTTTAATTTATGAATGAAATTTGTATTTTACACTAATAGAACACATGTGCACGCGTTTCTCTTCAACAATTTCAATTTATAATCTTTGAGAGACGTTTATTTTAATAATCGTACGAGCAAAATAAATGCTGGATACCGCGTTACGTGTTTCTTCTCACATCGAACGATAATAATTATACACTTTGATTCAATCAAATCGAATAAATATTTTGATTTTTTACAAAATTTCTTCGTGACATTTCAACGTGCATATCGTTACTTAAATTTTCGTTGAAATGAAAATAGTTGAGGAAAAAAAGGGAAATACGTTCATTAGATAATTAAATGTTTCGTCTGTAATAAAAACATCTGTGTAACAACTGTGATAGGGTTGGATTTTTTTCCAATGGTTGTTATTGGAATAAAAGCTATTGGGACGATGATCAAGGTGTTATTTAAAAAGTTAACAAAAAAAGATTAGAAATAAAGAAGATACTGAAACTTGAATTTAAAAGAAAATAAAAAGCTACGATCTTCTTTGTCGTATCGATGATATCGCGAACAGGACACTTTGAACTATGTAACTTTACTCGAAATGTAGTAAATGTAAAAGAAAAAAACCATTATGATGTTAGTATATTGAATTCCTCTGACAATGAAACATATTCAAAGAATTTTACTTTGAAACGTTTCGGCGGGAATACTTTCGAGTTATATCGTGAGAAAAAGAGACGTGCTTTCATCATAATTGTTCATCCTTCTGTTCATAGATGCCGACACTTACTACTCCGTTTAATTTCTTTCTATATGTATGTTATATATATGTTGTATATGTTGTATATAAATACTATATACTTGCACAGAGCACAACGATACGTTTTTTTCAGTTTTTAAATGTATTTATATTAAAAATGTAAAATGATGTGACACAATTTGACATATGGATCATTCGTTATTGCAACAAATAATATTTTAATAAAAACGACATCACCCAAAACCACCTCCTTGTAGTGATTTGTAAATATATGGGTTATATGAATTAAAGAAGAATAAAAAAATAGTGAATATAAATAAAAGAAGAATTACAAACTCTGACGCACGTTTGCATCCCATAAGTGCAATTTTCTTTTCTATTATAATATATATATATATATATATATATATAAAAAAATAATTAAAGACGAGGTCATGTTTGCATGTGTTTTATTCATAGATTGTATCTTTTTTAAAAAAAAGGAAATATATATTTCAAATTAGACAGAGAAATTTTGACAAACGATTGACAATGCGCGTTAGCGATCTCATTCGAAAGGATATTTATTATATTATTTCTTAACAATGTGGAAATTGAAAATGTGTTTTTCATTTTACAGTCATGGCGAGGATCTCATTGTTACACCGTTCGCGCAAATACTCGCTTCTCTTCGTGCGGTTCGGACCAATTTCTTATCACTCACGAATGTCCCTCCCAACAGGTGAATTAATCTTTTTTATCTTTCATTAAATCTTTTTTATTTTCGATTAAATCTACTGATTATATAAATACCCATTTTATTAAATCATTTATTTTCATAGATCACGAAGGAGTAGCGGGGCGCAGGGTAGTAGTACGCCACAGCCACGAATCCTTGCACCCGGAGGTAATTATCGATTAATATTTTATAACAATTTTACAAAAATCTATTAAAAACGTGACAGAGAAGATTTTTGTATTTTTGAAATTTACAAATGATTTCTTACGTTTCGTGTACCTAAATATTATTTCAAAAAAAGAAAAGAAACATATATTATGTCATGGAACATCAGATAGGTGTTTATTTTATTTTATAATTTGATGTAAATTTATATTTACAAAGTAAACTGAAGATACATATATTTAATATGTATTATTAATACAGAAGAACACGACATTTTTTCTCTTTAAAGTAATCCGTTCTTTTCTCATTTTCTCCCTTTCTTTCTGTGATTTTTATTTTTTTCCTAAGCTAATTCGTTGAATTTATTACAAACATTTTGTTTTACTCTCTTCCAATGTTGATTTTAGTTATTAACTGACATTTTTCATAATTTTTAATTTTTCTAGTTTGACCAACGTATATTAATAACTTTTTTTCAATTTAACTTGTCCGTAGTTTTATTAACATCGAGTTCTGGCTTCATTTATCAAATAGAATTTCATTTTTCTTTATTAAATGTCATTACATATTTATATACATTGCACATACTTTGAATTGAACAAGATTAAATAATATTCCATTGTAACTTCAACCTTTCTTAGCCCATAATGAAATATATAATAACTTCATTATTTGAACATTTTAGAAGAGACCTACATAAAATTGGCCGTGGAAACGATGGAAGAATTGGATTGGTGTTTGGACCAACTGGAAACTATTCAGACTCATCGATCCGTATCCGATATGGCCTCCCTTAAGGTACGTATTTATGTTCCAAGATTTTCAGGATTATTTTTTTTTTTTTTCAACACAAAACACACGTATCTTTTATGATAGAAAAATTCGGATAAATATTATAAAATCAATGTTTATGAAAAATCGAGAATTCATGAAAAGAATAATAGGAACAAGTTTCATATTCAACATGTTTAATTTTATACGTAAATGGTTATGCTACTATTATGTAAACCTAAGCTATTTTTAAATACTAAAGGATTTAATAAAAATAATATTTAAATGCATATTAGTTTTATTATGTATTATATTCATATATATATTTGTTAATTTATCTTTTTTTTTTTCTATTTAATACAAGAATGATAATTCATATCCTATTGTGTGATACATTACTTGCTTGTTGAGATTTTTATAGGATTTCTTAATATCGTCCATCAAGGATAAACTTAAGAGGTAATCTCTGAATTATCTGGAAACAACGTTAGTTTATTTTATTGTTAGTGTCCTCGAACCAGTAATAATTATTTCCGGATATTCCCTTAATGAACTTTTATCAACAAGAGTGAAAAAGAACAAAAATGGATTTTTACTATAAATGACGCAAATGATAAAATAGCGAAGAATACAAGATAAATAAAGAAAGAGTTTAAAGTTTTATATAAAGTTTAATAATAATATCTAACGAAACTACGATAATGGATTCTTCATACGTAGAGAAAAATAAATAAAGTATATCAAAACATGGGTTCGGAAATGCTCAATTTTGAAATTATAAAACTTTTAAGTATGATCTTGTTATCGAAATTAAACTGCATATTTTTGTTGCTATCTATATATATATATATATATTGCTATAATAAATATAATTTTTTACCCTTTTTTTAATTCCCTTGCAACGATGCTTGTTCAAAGAAACTTGGTTATTTAAAGAAAAAAAACCAAAAATAAGTTTTAATGGTTTCGAGTTTAAATAAACCAAAAAATGTAAACTTTTTCCTTCTCCCACTTTCTTTATTTTTCTCTCTTTTATTGAAATGCAAAAAAAAGAGGGTAGATTTTAATTAAAAATTCTTAAAGAAGAAGGTTTCGTTAAATGAACGAAATCATAATAATAAAATATCAAGTATTATTAATATAATAAATGTATAAATCGATATATAATTAAACGACGAGCATGAGAAGTTACTAGTAAAATTTTTTAAATATGATAATATTCTTAATTTGATATCGTTAACATGATAAACATTTATCGCTCAACATTTTCAACTTTTATTTCGCTCAACGTTATTACTACTAACTATTTTTTCGAGAGGGGATACGTGCTTTTCTTTTTTTCTTTGTTTATAGATCTTGTCAGAGTATTGAAATTTCTCAACCATTTAGAAAAAAGCTCAAACTTGGATACCAGAATAACATCGACTTTGTTTATATTATCATGTTTCCTTTGACATTTTCTACCATGTTCCATGGTTGTCTTTGAGTATCTACATCATTAAAAAATTTGAAAAAATGAAGGGAACATAATAGTTCTTCCAATTAATATCGAACGTAAATATAATATATAATACTTACTGACAATATCTGGTCATTATAAATTTTACATTGGATAGTCCAGGCAAATTAGGGTTTCACCTCGGAATGAGAAGATAGTCGGCTACAAACTTTTATGAACCGTATATTTCAACACCCTAAAACTTGTCTCAAAACCTACTTATCGTAGGGTGTCGGCGACTACAGATATTCCAAGGTCAAAGGTCAAAAAATCGATTTTTTACACATTTATTGCAAATATCTCGTTTCCTATGAGTTTTATGCTATTTGTATTTATCATAAATAT